CGGCCACTGTCTATACAAGTGATCGGCCACTGTCTTTACCAGTAATCGGTCACTGTCTATACCATTGATCGGCCACTGTCTATACAAGTGATCGGCCACTGTCTTTACCAGTAATCGGTCACTGTCTATACCAGTGATCGGCCACTGTCTATATCAGTGATCGGCTAAGTCTATACCAGTGATCGGTCACTCTCTATACCAGTGAACGGCTAAGTCTATACCAGTGAGTATACACAGCTATACACCTACTTAGTCAGTCTCGTCTTTTTGACAGTACTGATAAAACCTATTGTTTGACACTTTTATATAAATTGACAATATCACGAAGGAGTATGAATGATATAATTTATCATTTATATCATAAACACCGTATAACCTACTCCTGTCATACGTACCTTCTAATACGGATTGGAATTTTGGTCCAACTACAGAAACATCAGAGTGTGTGATACACGCAATATTAACCTTTGTCACGACCCTTTATTACTGTACGACAACGATGTGCTGTATACGTTTATAGTGCACTTGTTCTATGACGTCACATCTCTAAACAAATCATCAGCCAATCATGTGTTGTATAACATTAAGTGTTTTCCATAGTACTTATGTTAACAAGGAACTTCCTTTATCGAAAATAACTATTTGCTGAGAACTTGATATATATTTCCTTATTTTACACTTATCACCTATCTCAATACGTATGGTAAATACATATGGATTTATGACTAGCATTATATGTCAGTATTTAGTTGCGGATACTTTGTTGAAACAGACATTATCTAAAGCTCGCAAAATAAATATTTAATTACTGCTTAGGCTCAAAACAAACTTCGTATATATTATTCATTAGAGGATTGAAATTATTTGTTTCAACATTTATGAGGTCATACCAACATGGGTTTGAGGACATATATATGAATGGCGTTAATAATTCATGGTAAATAATATCATATAGTTTAAAGAACGTGTTTTATTGTTAACAGGAATTCAATAAAATAAAAATCAGAATAAGATCGTTTAGTGTAGTTACTTGTAGAAGCATATGCAGTGTACCATGACGGGTGCTACATAGGATCGGTCGTCTTTGGGGCCAAGTCTTGATATGCTCGTTCCATTTCCTTTCTAGACAAATTTTGTTGAGGGAGGGGAGGAATGTAGTAGAATTACAAGATGTCGATCAGCCGAAAACAACTAGTAATTACAGCGTCTGCATGGTATTCGAAAGTTCCGAATTCGTTTCTGACCGTTCCTGGCATGTATATTTCCATACTGATTAGTGTGTGGGATGTCATGTATATTTCCATACTGATTAGTGTGTGGAATGTCATGTATATTTCGAAACTAATTAGTGTTACGGATGTCATGTATATTTCCATACTGATTAGAGTGTGGAATTTCATGTATATTTCCATACTGATTAGTTTGTGGGATGTCATGCATATTTCTATACTGATTAGTGTGTGTGATGTCATGTATATTTCCATACTGATTAGTGTGTGTGATGTCATGTATATTTCCATACTGATTAGTGGGTGGGATGTCATGTATATTTCTAAACTGATTAGTGTGTGGGCTGTCATGTATATTTCCATAGTGATTAGTGTGTGGGATGTCATGTATATTTCCATACTAATTAGTGTGTGGGATGTCATGTATATTTCTAAACTGCTTAGTGTGTGGGATGTCATGTATATTTCTAAACTGCTTAGTGTGTGGGATGTCATGTATATTTCTAAACTGATTAGTGTGTGGGCTGTCATGTATATTTCTATACTGATTCGTGTGTGTTATTTCATGTATATTTCCATACTGATTAGTTTGTGGGATGTCATGTATATTTCCATACTGATTAGTTTGTGGGATGTCATGCATATTTCTATACTGATTAGTGTGTGTGATGTCATGTATATTTCCATACTGATTAGTGGGTGGGATGTCATGTATATTTCTAAACTGATTAGTGTGTGTGATGTCATGTATATTTCTATACTGATTAGTGTTTGGGATGTCATGTATATTTCCATACTGATTAGTGTGTAGTGTGTGGGATTTCATGTATATTTCTATACTGATTCGTGTGTGTGATTTCATGTATATTTCCATACTGATTAGTGTGTGTGATGTCATGTATATTTCCATACTGATTAGTGTTTTGGATGTCATGTATATTTCCATACTGATTAGTGTTTTGGATGTCATGTATATTTCCATACTGATTAGTGTGTGGAATGTGATGTATATTTCGAAACTAATTAGTGTTACGGATGTCATGTATATTTCCATACTGATTAGTGGGTGGGATGTCATGTATATTTCTAAACTGATTAGTGTGTGTGATGTCATGTATATTTCCATACTGATTAGTGTGTGTGATGTCATGTATATTTCCATACTGATTAGTGTGCGGGATGTCATGTATATTTCCATACTGATTAGTGTGTAGTGTGTGGGATTTCATGTATATTTCTATACTGATTCGTGTGTGTGATTTCATGTATATTTCCATACTGATTAGTTTGTGGGATGTCATGCATATTTCCATACTGATTAGTGTGTGGGATGTCATGTATATTTCTAAACTGATTAGTGTGTGGGATGTCATGTATATTTCTATACTGATTCGTGTGTGTGATTTCATGTATATTTCCATACTGATTAGTGTGTGGGATGTCATGTATATTTCCATACTGATTAGTGTGTGGGATGTCATGTATATTTCCATACTGATTAGTGTTTTGGATGTCATGTATATTTCCATACTGATTAGTGTGTGGGATGTCATGTATATTTCTATACTGATTAGTGTGTGGGATTTCATGTATATTTCCATACTGATTCGTGTGTGGAATTTCATGTATATTTCCATACTGATTAGTGTGTGGGATGTCATGTATATTTCCATACTGATTAGTTTGAGGGATGTCATGCATATTTCTATACTGATTAGTGTGAGGGATGTCATGTATATTTCCATACTGATTCGTGTGCGGGATGTCATGTATATTTCCATACTGATTAGTTTGAGGGATGTCATGCATATTTCTATACTGATTAGTGTGTGTGATGTCATGTATATTTCCATACTGATTAGTTTGAGGGATGTCATGCATATTTCTATACTGATTAGCGTGTGTGATGTCATGTATATTTCCATACTGATTAGTGTTTGGTATGTCATGTATATTTCCATACTGATTAGTGTTTGGTATGTCATGTATATTTCCATACTGATTAGTGTGTGGGATGTCATTTATATTTCTATACTGATTAGTGTGTCGGATGTCATGTATATTTCCATACTGATTAGTCTGTGGGATGTCATTTATATTTCTATACTGATTAGTGTGTCGGATGTCATGTATATTTCCATACTGATTAGTTTGAGGGATGTCATGCATATTTCTATACTGATTAGTGTGTGTGATGTCATGTATATTTCCATACTGATTAGTGTTTGGTATGTCATGTATATTTCCATACTGATTAGTGTGAAAATATACATGACATCCCACACACTAATCAGTATAGAAATATACTGATTAGTGTGTGGGATGTCATGTATATTTCTATACTTATTAGTGTGTGGGATGTCATGTTTATTTCTGTACTGATTAGTGTGTGGGATGTTATGTATATTTTTATACTGATTAGTGTGTGGGATGTCAGGTATATTTCCATACCGATTAGTGTGTGGGATGTCATGTATATTTCTATACTGATTAGTGTTTTGGATGTCATGTATATTTCCATGCTGTTTAGTGTTTCTATAAATATTCTATTAACATGAATAAACCAGGATCACGCTACAAACAATAAATTATTGTCTTGACTGTAGTTGGTAGTTGTTAAGAAAGCTGTGTCCCTGATTTAACAAATTAACAAAGCTCATTGTAGTAATACTTTAAAACAGCTGATATTTTCTACGGGTTTTATTAGTTCATATTTCATGTAAAACCCCAGGGAAGTAGGAATATTTATACATAAAAACGTATAACTTCGTCTGTGGGTAGTAGATCTAGCCGTCGTGACATCTAAACAGGAAACATTTTCTCTAAACTAAATCATAGATTGTTTTTTTTGATAAGCTATTCAGGAGATCATTATCATGTACTTTTCAAAACTGTTGTTTTGTAACTATATATTACTTCACTGTTTCCCTGTAATATGAGTTACGAACAACCTGGTCTGTAAGGAAGAAAGACACGTTTGGATACTTCACTGTTTCCCTGTAATATAAGTTACGAATGATCTGGATTTGTAAGGAAGAAAGACACGTTAGGATACTTCACTGTTTCCCTGTAATATAAGTTATGAATAATCGGGATCTGTAAAGAAGGAAGAAAGACACGTTTGGATACTTCACTGTTTCCCTGTAATATAAGTTACGAATAATCTGGATCTGTAAGGAAGAAAGACACGTTAGGATACTTCACTGTTTCCCTGTAATATAAGTTACGAATAATCTGGATCTGTAAGGAAGAAAGACACGTAAGGGGAACGGTAAACACAAACGACCAGCAGATCAACAAATCAAACATAAATACCATTTGTACGGGTTTTCCAATCTGTGTTCGATGAAAAATCCAAGCTGTTTATACCAGCCCTGGTATAATGCAACATCATCTGATTATGAAACATACCGTCGCAATACAAATATCCCATGACAACCCTCCCCCAGTTGTATAAACGATTTGACGGTCAAGCAGTCTCTATGAGAGGTTATACCTCCTCTCACTCACGTCAGACTCCTCCTCTCACTCACGTCAGATTCATCCTCTCACTCACGTCAGACTCCTCCTCTCACTCACGTCAGACTCCTCCTCTCCCTCACGTCAGACTCCTCCTCTCACTCACGTCAGACTCAGTCCTCTCACTCACGTCAGATTCCTCCTCTAACTCACGTCAGACTCCTCCTCTCACTCACGTCAGATTCCTCCTCTCACTCACGTCAGACTCCTCCTCTCACTCCCGTCAGGCTCCTCCTCTCACTCACGTCAGACTCAGTCCTCTCACTCACGTCAGACTTCTCCCCTCACTCACGTCAGACTCCTCATCTCACTCACGTCAGACTCCTCCTCTCACTCACGTCAGACCCCTCCTCTCACTCACGTCAGACTCCTCTTCTCACTCACGATCACGCTCTGTTATACCCTACTTGTTTACTCCTATTTATTAACGAGATACTAACGTCAGAAGTGACACCTAAGTGGGCATCCTCTAACACTTTTTGGGCACCCTTATAACTGTTAAGGGGGCATCCTCTAACACTTTGTGGGCTCCCTTATAACTGTTAAGTGGGCATACTCTAACACTTTTGGGCACCCTTATAACTGTTTAGTGGGCATCTTCTAACCCTTTTTGGGCACCCTTATAACTGTTTAGTGGGCATCTTCTAACACTTTTTGGGCACCCTTATACCTGTTAAGTGGGCATCCTCTAACCCTTTTTGGGCACCCTTATAACTGTTTTGTGGGCATCTTCTAACACTTTTTGGGCACCCTTATAACTGTTTAGTGGGCATCTTCTAACACTTTTTGGGCACCCTCATAACTGTTAAGTGGGCATCCTCTAACACTTTGTGGGCACCTTATAACTGTTAAGTGGGCATCCTCTAACACTTTTGGGCACCCTTATAACTGTTTAGTGGGCATCTTCTAACACTTTTTGGGCACCCTTATAACTGTTAAGTGGGCATCCTCTAACACTTTTTGGGCACCACTATAACTGTTAAGTGGGCATCCTCTAACACTTTTTGGGCACCCTTATAATTGTTAAGTGGGCACTTTGTTACTAAGTTTAGCCTGAAAAGAAGTGGAGACGTAATCATTGAGATCCCTTATAGGGTATTAAATGTTTAGTTGCCTGGACACATTTTTGGCGTTAACGTTTACATATTTCGTGTATTTTGGTCAATGCTCGGCAGTTGAGTCGATTTTCAGTTTCAAGTTTGTCTCTGCATCACGATATGCTAAAATTGAGGTTCTCCCTGCGAGTGATGTGTGGTTATCGTTTATCTTACTCGAGTTAGTAAATGTTCAAATTGTATAAAGACACGAGGTTTACCGTGAGATAGAATGGCAACCCATCATCACGAGTTATGTGACCTTTCCCTCCTATACCTTTGATATAATATCCCGAAAACCACGTGTTTCCTTGTCAATTAAAGATTTTACTAATTCCGCGAAACTTTTGCAAACAAGAGATTATGTAAGCAAATTGTCGCCAGCTGTCTAATCTTTTAAAATTTTTAATTTCAAATTCGAACGATTCAAAAATGTTTCCCAACTCACATCCATTAAGAGTTTCCTTAATAAGCTAACAACAACAACGTTATGTTTACCTGTGCTATAGAGGTGGAATATACCCCCTAAACTAGTTGTAGAACTGGAGAAGACGATTTTGAAGGAATTTACTCAATTGTGTCCTTTTATATCACAAAAGAGAACCAAATACCGGTGTCATGCTAAATAGGCAATATCATCTCGTTACACTTACAGAGCTGGAGAGAAAGATCCCTTAATCCCAGTACCCAGTTCTTTTAAATGGCGATCCCCATGGGGCCTGGCCGCATTAATTCGACACGAACAAAGTTAAAAATAGTATTTCTATGCCAACTTATACATGAAATTTCAGCTTTTCTGGTGCTATTTGTAAAACTCGAGAAAAAAATTCTTGTTAAACCCAATGAACCAATTTCACCTTGGGTTGTTCCAAATGGAATAATGCTGAGAGTGCTGTTTTAATAACCAGGCTGGGGGCTGGGGGCTGGGGGCTGGG